AAAAAACTCAATTTAAAATTCAAAAATCTATCTTATTAAATATTAATACCTAGATTTAGAAACTGATTTTATATTCTAATGTGGACAATGATTGGTACACATTTCGATTTAACACATTGTATAAATTACTCATTAAAAAATCATTATTTTCTTATATTAAATTAAAGGTGGGGAAACATAAAAATACAACTATACATACAAGATTCAAGATTTGGTTGAATTAATTGTAGTTATATTATATTATAATAGATGAACCGAAATGAATGCCAGAAAATATGTTAAACTGAATGTGTACAAATTGTTTTCCCTTCTAATATAATCGATTTTTAAATTCAAGTATCAACATTTAATAAGGTAAGTTTTTGAATTTTGAATTGAGTTTTAATTAGATAAAACAACATTAGGACTCTTTTTTTTTTTTTTTGGTATTTGGGATTGATATGCACTATTTTCTTATAGATTTGTGTTTTGGACAATGATTGGACACACTTTACAATATACTTATTAAAAAATTATTATTTTTAAATTTAAATTTAAGACGAGAAAAATTTTACTTGTAAAATTTAATAATTAACAGATGAATGTTAGTAAATGTATTGAACTAGAAGGTGTACTAATCATTACCCATGTATTTTACCTTCATTCTTTTCATAAAAAAATAAATAAATTAGGGCCAACAAGTGTTTTATTGAGTTGATACTTACTAATTTAAAAATTTTTTATTTGAGATTAGGTTGGGAGTTTTAGGGTAGGAAAAGGCTTTTTTTTCATATGGTATTTTACTATTAAAGTGTCTTTAGTTAGTTTTTGCACACCTTAAAATTAATTTTTCTTTAGAAAATTTTGAAGGTCCACCTCATATTGGCTTAGTGTGTTTTAAAAAAATTAATTTCTTTTAGGAGTTTGCTCTAAGACTTGAACATTAAACTTAACCTACAAGACAAAACTTAATTACCAATAGTTCCAACCTTTAAAGTTGGTACTGAGGGGCTTTGAGAGGGCTAGAAAAGAGTATTGTATAACTATCATCTTATGCATCAAAGAAAAATCTTGAGATGCAAAAAGTAGGGTATGAAAAGGTGAAATAATTAGACATTTGTGGCTGAACTAAAGAAAGAGGAATTGATCACTACAAGAATGCAACCTCGTTTGCCTCAGACAATGTGGACGCAGAAGAACACAAAAAAAATGAGAGAGAGAGCAAGAAGGGAACAAGGTGGTCACAGCTCACCGGCAAAGCGGACGGCACTAAATCGAGAGCGTGAAGAGACTCGTGGAAGAAACCCACAAAGGGGATTTGAGCTAGTAAAACAGAGAAGAGTGCAGAATGTTCAGCACCAGGATTGGAAGATGCAGAAGCATGGAATGTACAATTGGGGTCTATACAAACAAGCCACTCCTTATTTCTTTACCAATTGTTCGGATGACTGGAGCTATGAAAGACATGTGGAAGACATTCCTGAAATTTGGAAGGGTTTATGACATTTATAGCCCAAACAGGAAGAGCAGGAACGGTGGTAGATTTGGATTCGTGAGATTTCTGGGGGTGACAGATAGAAATGAACTAGAAAGACAACTAGATCATATATGGATTGGAGGGCAAAAATTATGGGTAAATAGACCGAGATTTGCTGAGGAAAAGCAGGAAGTCAGGGGAAGAAAAATCAATGAAGTGGCAACAATGAATCAGAAGAGGAGCTATGTAGAGGTGGTGAAGGGATGGAAAGAGTATGACAGGGAGGAGGAAAGGACATCATAGAGTACAGCAAATCAGAATCGATTTGGGAGGAATGACATTGGAGATGGGGAGTATACAGAGCAAAGCAGACAAGGAAGAAGCAAAAGTAGACATAGAAATGGGTACCGGAGAACGGAAAACAGAAAACAATGGCAAGAGAGAGGAAAAGGAGAAAAATGGGTTGGGATGGAATATAATATAAAACAAGAGGAGTATGCATGGCTTGAGGGGTGTTACATTGGTACAGCACACTCCGTTGAAATGGTTCGTAATTTGCAGGAGAAGTTCTTTATGGAAGGGTACTTCTCATGCCAAATTAGACCGATGGGAGGTAGATTGGTATTATTAGATTGTCAGGATAAGGAGGAATTGAAGGACTTGGTTGAAATGGCATCAAATTGGCTACGGCAATGGTTTGAAGAGGTGCATCCTTGGTCACCTGAAATGGTTGCAAAAGAGAGGTTTGTGTGGATGAGGTGTCAAGGAGTACCATTAAACGCCTGGGGAACTGATTTCTTTTCAACCATGAGCTGTTCATGGGGTAAAATCATATGTGTGGATGATAATACAAGCAAGAGGAGGAGGTTCAACATTGCTAGATTCTTGATCTCTACTCCAATTATGGATACAATCACAGTCTTGCGACAAGTAAAGATTAACGAAAGCATATACACTGTTAAATTTACAGAGGAGGAGCTCACTAATAGTTTTTTCTTCTTGAAACAAGACTTCATGCCTTCATTTGAAAGTGACTCAAAGGAGCACGAAGTGTGGACCAGTGAGGCAAAATCGGAGGAGCAGAAATTCAATTATGCAGAGAAGGATGAACTAGTTAACTATGATGATGCCGGTGAAGAAGATGATGACGTGTCGGAAGCAGGGAAAGCCGAGAAGAGGGGGACTCAGGTGTAAAACAATCAGAAGGATTAGGAACAGGAACAAGTTGCAACGGTTAGAGACAGCCTAGAACAAATTCAAAATTTGAATGAAGGAAATAGAAAAGTAGGGGTAGGAGGGATGACACCATAGCAAGAAGTGCAGAATCCAATAATAGAGTGCAGTGAAAAAGCTGGAATAGAAATGAGCTGCAAGGAATTGGCCGAGAAGAATTTGGGTAGTGAGCCCAATACACAAAAAAAAAGCCCAGAGGTGGAGGAGTCCACAAATATGGGTCAAGCCCATATAAAGATAGTAAGAAGGAGGGCAAATTTGAATAGCAAAGAAGACAATTACAGTAACTCAAATGACTCATACAAGAGCAACAAAGAGGTGGGTGAGGATGTGTTCTAGAAGGGCTTCGAAAGGGAGAAAGGGCGACTAGAAGACTGGATGAGCAAGCAAATGGGGAAGATGGCAAAGAAAAAGAGAAGGAAAGTTAGGAAGTGCAGTTCGTTATATTCAAACATAGGTGTACAAGTCATAGGAGCAGAAGGAAGAAGAGGAAGAGGAAAACAAAGCATGCAGCCGACGAAAAGGAAATTAGCACCAAAATTTTTGCCAAATCCAAATGGGTTAGTTGCGGGTGATTCAATTGGAGATAGAAACATTCAAAATTGTAATAGATTTCTGAAGAAAAAGATGCAGAATCGGCTAGCAAAGGAGATATGGGACTTGGCGAAGCAGCTTGGAGCAATGGCGGAGGATGACGATGAGATGATTCAAAGAATTGAGGAGCTAGAGGAGAGGGACAGACAAGCAAAAAAAGACATGGCATACCGAGATATGGGTGTCAATTCGAAGGTATGTCAGGATACCAATTATTTTGCTCTCATATAATATAAAGGGTCTCGGAGGGGTCGGGAAGAAAAGACAAGTTAGGGAGTTAGTGATCAAGGAAAGAGTAGAGTTTCTAGCTATTCAGGAAACCAAATTAGAGATGGTTGATAGGAATATTTGTAGAAGGGTTTGGGGGACAGAGGATTTTGATTGGGTGTCTAAATCGTCAAATGGTATTTCGGGGGGTCTATAGTGTGTTTGGAACTCTAAAGTGCTCAAGAAGGAAGAGGTTCTGGAGGGGGAGAACTTCATTGGGATTTATAGATTATGGGGGGAGGATAAGCTACCTATGAACATCGTAAATATTTATTCACCTTGTCAGTTAACGGGCAAGAGAGCCTTATGGGAGAAGCTGCAACACTTGATGAATAACAGAAGGGGGAAGTGGTGCTTGGCAGGAGATTTCAATGCTGTGAGAAGAGCAGAGGAAAGGGCATGATGCACTAGAATTTCCAGAGAAATGAGGGAATTTGATGAATTTATTCATAATGCTGAATTGCATGACTTGCCTTTGCTAGGGAGGAAATACACATGGTATAACTCAAATGGGTAGCACATGAGTAGGATTGATAGATTCCTGTTATCGGAAGATTGGATAACAGAGTGGAGTGATGTGAAGCAACGGGGATTAAGAAGGTCAGTATCGGATCATTGCCCTATTTTACTGAAGAATGAGAAGGTTGATTGGGGTCCAAAACCTTTCAAATTTTTCGATGCTTGGCTGGATCAACCAGGTTGCAAAGAGGTGATTAAAGATGTGTGGAATCACAAAGAGGTGAAGGGGTGGAAAGGTTTCAAGCTCAAGGAAAAACTGAAAAACACAAAGCAAGCACTAAAAGAGTGGAGCAGGAAATCAATAAATGAGGTGGATGGCAAAATTAAAGAAGCTGAAAATGAGATAGCTGAAATTGATGAAAAGGGTGAGAAGACTCAACTGGTGGCAGATGATATTGAAAAGAAGAGAATCAGCTTTGTTGATTTATGGAAGAATCTAAGGATTAAGGAGAGGATATGGCAACAAAAGTCAAGAAAGATGTGGTTGAGAGAGAGAGATGCGAACACTAAATTTTTTCATAGATGCGTGAAGGGAAGGTGGAAAAGAAACGAAATTAATTCTATTCAAATCAATGGGGAACAGCACACAGGGGTGATGGAGATAAAAGAAAAGGTAGCTGAATACTTTCAGGATTTGTTTATAGAAGAGAAATGGCAGAGACCAAAGCTGGATGGGATTAGCTTCAATCAAATATCACAAGATGATAATGAAATCCTTATCGCTAAATTCTCGGAAGAGGAGATTAAAGAAGCAATCTGGAATTGTGATTCTTCCAAAGCTCCAGGCCCAGATGGATTTAATTTCAGATTTGTTAAGACAATGTGGGAGGACATAAAGTCTGACATTGTGGACTTTGTGCAAGAGTTTTACAGCAATGGTAGACTTGTCAAAGGATCAAACGCATCTTTTATTGTGTTAATCCCCAAGAAAGAAAATCCTCAAGGTATCGAAGAATATAGACCCATATCACTCATCGGGGTCATATATAAGATCATTGCAAAACTACTAGCAAACCGATTGCAAAAGGTGCTACCTAAGGTAATCGGGGATCAACAGATGGCGTTTATAGAGGGGACACAGCTAGTGGATGGAGTTGTGATTGCAAATGAGATCATAGATGAAGTTAAAAGAAAGAAGAAAAGATGCTTCCTCTTCAAAGTTGACTTCGAGAAAGCATATGACAAGGTGTGTTGGGATTTTGTTAATTATATGATGATGAGGATGGGGTTTAATGGAATCT